TGTGGGTTGGAATATATGTGGCAAGGGTCCCGGGGTCCCGAACCTTCCTGATTGGTCTTAGTCTTGAAAAACAGGGCCCCGACACTGTCGTCTTTTGGTAAAAAAAAGTGTTGCGTCTGGAGAGTTTGAACGGAGACCGACCTACACATCAAATTCCACTGTGTAGTCAGAAAAAGATGAGAGAAGCCGCAATCGTTCCTTTTTAGCGTAGCACTGCATAATTCCTTGTATAGTGAATACGTGAGCGGTTGCTTACCGGAATTTTTTGCAGAACCTGATTGGTTTGTTTCAGCCTCATATCGTTTAATCTCGGAAAAGATCCTCTTCATTCCCTCTCCATATTCTACTGGCAACGGCAACTCTCTCCTACGATAGAGATCCTTAATAGCGCTCCTGAATCCACTTAGCGTTACAGCTTTTACACGAGTCCGTTTGTAAGCTAGAAAATCATCAAACACCGCTGGAGTGAACTCGGGGAGGTTAAGGTCACCATCGGCTGTAAAATACTGAGCGATATTTGGATCTAAAGCAGACCGTTCTTCTCGTAGCCACTTCTTGATCCCGTTGATGCTCCCTGTATACTTCTTTCTTGTATCGCGCGATATGCAAGCATCACGAAGAGCCTTCGGATCGACGAAGACAGCGTCCTCCTGCGAACTTCTTGCAGGCATTTTTTCTGTGAAGTGATGGTATGCGCTGGATATCATTCAATTTTGGCCAATTAGAGCGACGCCTTTTCGTCGGTTCCTGGTGCATACGATTTCTTAACATAATTCGATTATTGATTGCCTATAGTAAATCTCAGTCACTCAGCGGCGTCAGGATTCACAGATTCCGGAAATCATAAGCCGATCCGCCGACGTTTTGGTTGAAAGTGCCATATAAAACTTACGTAAGTTAGAGAATGTCGGAGGAAATTTATCAGGGCTCCTCCAATTCAGTATTATACTGGAAGTGCTGCAATAGTAATAACGGCAATACAATCGATACCCCTGATATTTCCCAGAAGCCACAAAGAAGAAAACACATACTTGCTGCCCAACGAATGAAAAATCCACAATCATTGGTTAAAATTAGCCGTTATTTCATGTGTAATTTTCTATTCGAGCCATTTCACACATTCCATAAGGCTCATCGTCAACCGGGCTCACCGCACCAAACCGCATTGATCGAGAATGATTTTGCCGCCGCATTGGGACGGTTGCCTGACCCACTACAGATGGATTCCATGATGGAGTCGAGCAAGAATCACAATTAAACAGTTTAGGTATCGGAGCTATTGTAGTGTATGTTCATTGTTTTGGTCCCGCACACTGGCTGAGGTCTGAGTATTGCTCTCGCGTCAACCCATCTACGTGCTGGATAACGTCTTTAGGAGTTTACTTGGCATGCAACCCTCGCATCCAACTGGGCCCATTGTTTCCCGGGTCGGAACCTAAAGTTAGATTCGGTAAGGCACTCAGGAGTCTTCTTCACAAAGAAGGCGTTGAAAAAAGCTATGGTACACATTCGATAAGAAAGGGCGTGGCCACATTTGCGTGTGGTGGAAGTACGGGCGGTCCGTCGATCGTAAGTGTTTGTCTTCGATGTGGCTGGTCACTTGGAGGGGTACAAGACCGATATTTTCGCTATGAAGCTGCGGGTGATCCGGTTTTAGGGCGTGTGGTAGCTGGGCTTCCAGTTAATGACTTCAAGTTTGCAGCTCTACCGCCACATTTTATCAGCAATTCCGATGAATAGGTAAAATCCACCATTCACGTTATGTTTCCGGGGCTTGCCAGTGAATCTAATCTACGTGGTATTTTGGAGTTATGTCTCGCTTCCCTGGTACAGCATACCGAGTTTCTACTGGAAAACTTGCCGACCAACCACCCGCTTCTATCTACACTTCTATTTACCGATCCGTCCGTTAGACATGCGTTGGGTGGAATGCTAGAAGTTGGCGACTCTAAATGGATGCAGACAACTGGAATTCCACCGCACATTGATCTTTATAGGAAACTTGACAATCAACAGAAGTCCATTGATGCACTCCCCGACATGTTAGAAAGACGCATGGAAAGAGTTCTAAAAGAAAAGGGTGTCACAGCAGGGAATATTACAAGGGAGCTGCTACGGCTTGAAATTAGATCGATGATGGAAGATGTGGGTCTCCAGCGTGATCAATCTATCGCACCAGCACATGAAGATTCGACAGCTACATGAGCAATTTTTTGTTGGGGTGGGAAGATTCATCGGCTGCCGAAAGACTTTGATTTTCCTAGTATTGATTCTCTTGGGGCGTGGAGGCTATGGTGGTTCGGAGACATCCGGCGTGGATACCCTCCTTACCAAAGCATTTCCTCCGATGACCTAGACACACCAAAAAAGAAAGCAACACTGTCAGAGTGGCCAATGCTAATGCGGCACATTGTTTCTGGAATCGAAGAGAAAACTGGTTTACCACTGCCTGTAATTCGGGATGAAGTTCAAGCCGTTGAGCTGTTCAACACAGGATATCAGATGCTAAAGTTAAAGCCGAGTAAAAGGAAGCGCAGAGTATCCCAGATCAAACTTACCACAGTGCTGCGGCTAGTTCGTGAAGCAGAATCTAGCCGAACTCGTAGCCTCCCTTTCACACCACGAAAAGGCAGAAACCTGCTAATGACTGACACAGGGGAGAGATCGACAGGACAGACAAGTGGTTAGCCTCATTATAATGTATCTTTTGCCCAGTGTACTTACATCGTGGTGTTGGAGCCACGCCTTCGTTTTTCTTCTTACTGTAGGGCAGTACGCACAATCGAAATATTATCCAGTCGGATCCTGTTTATAGTCGTCGGCGTCCTGAACATACGAATTCCCAAGTCAAGTCAATGTTACGTAGATTTCACTAAAAATGAGGATTTAAAAATAGTAAAAATAAAATGTATGTGAACTCAAGACAAACTGCTTTCGACTACTCTTGGTGGCTAGCATACCATTTACGCAGCGGCAACGGCACCCAAGTCGGCGAACTGGTCGTCTTCGGTGCAAGCTGTGGGCATGCACTCGTCGCATTGAATACCTCTGCAACGTCCGATTTCAGCGGCAAATCTCCGAAACTTGGAATGCAGACACGCGACTCGAAATCTTCACTCTCGCTTTCAATCAACCAGCACCGAGTGTCTTCCGTCTCACTCAAGTAGGAATCGTAGTCGTTTTCCTTCGAGACGGTGTAATTTCCTCCATTGAACACAACATTCACCTCAGTCTTGTCACCAGAAGACGTCCAATTTGAAGTCTTTATGACTGAATCGAGTCCATCGAACGGTATGCTTTGGCTTGCAGTCAAGCATCCGCTCGTGGTGATGGTATCTCCGTAGCCCAGCGAGGTCTCGACCCACTTGAAGCCTCTGCCATTAGCCAATGCTATATACTGCTGACTTGGCAGCACCACTCCTGAATAGATGGTCACCAAAGCGTCAAAAGGCAACAGGGTATCACTTTCATTTCGCGGGAAGAGGGCTCCGGATAAACTCGCGTTACTGCTACCTCCCTCGATATAGAGCTCACTTGCATTACGCGCCTGGTTCAACCACGCAACCAACTTTCTCTGCGGTGCGGTGAGACCTTTGCCACTCGTCAATGATGAGTGCGTCGTCGAGAATATGGGATCACCTTCATAAACTGCAACTGCAGCCTGACTAGCATCGCCGCGGTCCAGAGCGAGCACGAGCCCAACGGCGACCAAGACCAACCCCATCAACACTACAAAAGGGGTCCAAGAGTATCGGTTGCGTAGGCGTGGCTTCTCGACTGAAGCGGAATCTCCATCATCGTGGTCATAGGTTGAGTCGAGAGATACCGTGCTCAGCGGCGCCTCGCGCTTTGACTGCTCCTGCGCTTCGCCTTCACCGTCCATTTTGGCAAATGCGAATTGCTGGAGTGCGACTCAAAGCAGTCCTACGAAGAAGAGAACACACGACAGCATTGCAGCGTCCCAAGCAGGACAAAACAACCTAACTGTCGTATGGCAACTATTGCGCTACATGTACAGTTCTATCGGTATAATAATACGATTCCTATTGCTTTAATCGAGAACTTTACCGACGTACACGTAGTGTATTACTAGTAATACGAAGTTGTCGCTTATCGCTACCGTAGTCTGGTTTGTCATCTGAATTTCAGATCCTGAATACGGGCAGACCACGTTGAAGCCTGGACAGACGGAAGCTCATCTCAACAACTTACATTTCTCATCCTGTTACACTACGTCACTTGCACTTGTCCGCCTTGTCATATCTCTCTGTACGTCTCATGAATCCTCTCTCTTCGAGCAAGCATCGATGTGTGGATCGAGGCATCGCGTCGGCCGGATCGAGCACGCTTCACCCGACGTCATAGGTGCCTCAAGATACTCGCAGTAATCCAGCATTCCAATCGGTTGGTCGATATCAACTAAAATATCTGCTGAGCCCGACGCCACCGTTAGCTCCAACGTCGACTGCTTGCCGTGAATGACTAGCGCCGGATCTGTTGCTTGTTGATCGCTGCTAGGCAACGGATTTGAAGGTGACGCCATCTTCAGCCTCGCCCGAAGCCAATCCTCAGCACAAACCACGAACGGCGTATCGTAAAACTCAAACTGCAACGGCTTGCAATTCACGTAAAACTCTGAATAGAGCTCCGGTCGAAACGCGCTGTGTACGGTGTCCTTCAGCGTATGCAGCGGTGGGATATCCAGTGTCGTTAAACACGTTGCGTTCGCATTGCTTGTGCCCAGCGGCCGGCGGTATCCTCGATGATTCATCAGCACAAACACCTCGCTATCATTTACCACCATGCGTCCATCGAAACGGAGTCTGTGTGAGCATTCCGAGAGACGAGGCCATAGTGTTCCGGTAACATTAAGTCGCTCCATAGAACTTTCATTCATCTGCATCGTCAGATTAAATGAGATTGCTGAGGCATTTTCCAACGCGAAAAAAACTGCAGTAGCTTGACGTCGAGCTGTCGACATGGACGTCACTGCTACCCACAGACACATGAGCACATTGAGCGCCACAAACGCTGCGAGACCCAGACACAACGAGTCGCGAGCTGTCCACCGAGGCTTCGTGAGTGCAGCAGGAAGCTCCATATTCAACGCAGAAGAACGACAACTCAACTGTCACTTTGTCAGTGTACAACACGCTCCCTAATTATTATCAAACGCCTACTTTTCCTACAACAAAGCTAACTCATAAAATAACTGGAGACAACGAAGAAGAGTTGGGACCAGACAGTTGAGCTGGATCGTCCCGTTATCCTCTCGTCCCAAAACGCCTGAACGCCTTTAACCCAGTGTGATAAGCGGCCCCACCACTAGGTTCTCCCATCTCAACGCTAGAACCAGTACCTCTCGCATCCAGAATGCAGCATCAGCAGACGTGGCCGAGCCCAATGATCCTCCGTACTCAACTTCAAAGCCACGAATCGGCTGGCCTTCCACTTCCGGTAGTGTCGTGAATTTCCACCAGATAAAAGCTTTGGACCAGATGACGCACTGCGACGGCGGCGTGGAACCCGACATGATGTTCAGGTCGTTCGCGTCTTCCGGGTTCATATCCCGAATACACACGAGATGTCCATCGGGCGTCTTGGTGCGGAACAACAAGTAAATGGTGTGGTGCACCCAACCGTCCACGGTGTGTTTGATCTTGCGACGCACAACCACCACGTCGTTCTCGAAGCGCTGTAGCACTTCAACTTTCACCTCCAGACTGTGACCGAAGTAGCGCGTCACTTGGTCCTGTACAGCTCGCATCTCCCAGCTACGCGCAGCCAGGTCTTCGCTGCAGTCTTTGGCGAATTTCTTGTGGAACATGAAGTTGACGTTGTTTCCCACAAGTTTTCGTTTCTCACGCCAGCCACAGATCTCCAAGCCACTTGTTACGAAGTCCTCACTGTTGGAAAAGGCCTCAATCTCCAGGAACGAATCGCGCATGATACGGAGACACATGGCTTCTTCCATAGGACGCCACGACCGCGGCGTGTGGAGGTCGAACTGCTCCTCGACGACCGAATCCGACGTCGTCTCGCGCTGTATTTTATACAATTGTTTAATACAAATTGTGTTGTTTTAAACACATGTTTAAAACTGAACGTACATGGTCATACTCGAGCTGCAGCATCGAGTGGAAGAAGCGGTGGTCGTCCAGAGCCTTGCGTAGACTGTAGTTGTGGTTGGTGAGGTGCGTGGCCTCCATCGTGAGCTCCGAGATCTTCTGGCGGATGGGGCTCTCGGACTTGACGCCTTCGCACAGCTCCCGGATGCGGCTCTCCATGGCTGCTACAGTCTCCTTCATAGTCATCATCGTGTGCTACGCAAGGTGTCAAAATGACAAGAGACGGCGACAGCGGACACCACCAGAAAAGAACACAAACATCGTCAGTCCACTTGACACTTTGATGACTCATGCAACTCAAAGATACCGATCTGCCAAACTCACCTCTCGTTTGTGGCGACTGCGGCGCTCGTAGCTGCGTAGACGCGCCTTGGCTTCACTTGGAGGCGGACGCTTGGGCTTCTTCTCTTTGGCTTTGGCGGACGGTTTGCGACCGCGGCGCTTCTTCTCGGGCGCAGGAGGCGGCACTAGCGCGTTGCGTAGGCCAAGCGGGGGCAGCGGCGCTACAGACGATGACGGGAAGAGCGCATCTGCGTGCATGGCCGCCTCGGGTTTCATCATCATAGTCATGACCTCGTCGGGTCCGCTCTCGGACAGCTCGCCACTCACCAGATCCTCGTCCAGTTGAGCCATCGCCTCGTCCTGGTCCGGGTCCTGTTCATGCGGACTCGGCGCCGACGAGGGTTCGCCCAATGCGGCGCTCCAGAGCGAGTCCAGCTCGTCCTGTTCCTGGTCCGCAGGGCTTCCCTGCTCTTCCTCAGACAGTGTACCTGGCAGCATGATGGCCATCACGGCGGAGTCTGCGTTCTGCTCCAGCTGTTCGAGTCCCAACTCGCCCAGTTCCTCGTCGCTCAGCATAAGTCCACTTAGCTCCGCGTCCGTCGACGGCGCGTGATGCAGCGCTTGCATCAAGTCCAACATTCTTCCCGTGTCCCTGCTAAGTACGCTTTCTTTTTTTCTTTGGACACGAAGTGTGCGAGTCGACGCAAATCAGACTATGTCTGGGTCGAGGTGCTCGCTATAGAGGGCGAAAACGATACTGAGCTGTTCACGTCCGCACCGCCAGGGTCATAATGAACTTCAGTCAACTGGAAATGGGAGGGGAACCGGAACGGGTTCACTTGCTTTGACTATGCCACTTCGTGCGACTGTACTTCGCTCCCAAGTTCAACTTCTTCAAATAGCGGCTCAGTTTAACTGGAAACTGGACTGGAAAACGCCCGCACCTTCTGTTGGCAGCATGCGGCTTCATCGCATGTCATTCGGGGTGGCAGGGGGGCTTGTCCAGCCGGCAGGAGGTTGAGGACTACAGCCCTGCATCAACAGCCGCGAGTCGTTTGTGCCGGTGCGGCAGCAAGATCACCAAGCCGCCCAGCGTTTCGACGGTCTGGTTGGTACGCTGTACCGCTCCAGGCGTCATGTCGCTTGGCAATGTCTGCTTGGCGTCCACAGCCCTTTTTCTTCTTCAACCGAGCCCGTCCTCCCCACGAGGTCGGTACAGTGTACCACTCTCTTACAAAAAGCGAGAGGCCACGGACGTCAATCGAAATTCAACCAAAGGTCGCGCGTATCTTTACAGCTGGACAATTCGATTTCAACACGACTTCATAAGTAACGTGTGACCTTCACCTGCACGTACGAAGTACCCTGTTCATACTTTCCTTGCTTATGGCAGCCCAGCCAGCAGGTGCGCTCGAAAGAGATCGCCATTACCTCGACAACGGCAGATGATCGAGATGATCGCACTTCAACATGCCGGAATGTTAAATACATTGCGTTTCTGCTGGTGTGCGGCGACTCTTGTCAGGATTAATTGTCAAGTGCTACCTGGTAGTTGCAAGCACGACAATAAATAAACAGCGGCTCGCATAAACCACGTGTGGATGCACTGCAGACGCCAAAACACCCTACCGGAATACAGCTTCCTGTAAAACAGACTCGAGAATAACCGGGTTAACTTCACGTATGGAATCACGGGAGGTGACGCTGCTGCCATGCTTGAACTAATGGCGTTGAGGCCCGATGGCGCCACGACTTGGTGGGACTACTACGTTTGCAACTACTCGCAGTAGTCTGCTGCCCACTTGCCAACCTTACTGTACTTAAGTACTGCATACGAACCTGCGTGCGTTGAAGTGTCCATCGCGGCGGACGACAACAAATCGGAAAATGGAATGTGGCCGTGGGATCACATCGTCATTGCGAATGTCGTCCCGTGTATTACAAAGAATACCTCACTTAATTAGGTACTTTTAGCGATGAGCTCACACTGTTTCAATTTAATTTAGCGTTGCCACTCTTCAGACGTCACTCTTCCGCCATGGTTATTTCGGCCCTAATGCGCCTCTACCTTGCACCCGGAGAACTACCGCGCAACATCGTTAGCTCACACAGTTGGTGCTCGGCTTGAAACAATTGCGCCAGCACTCGTTAAGCTACGTTTTCGACGCAGCGACCCCGATGAGCTCCTCCAATGGCCGAGTCAATCTGATGGCCACTAGCTTCAGGATGCGCGACCTGACACGCTCCACGTCGCGTCGCCGCTGTCACTCGATCCAATTCAACAGGGATGGACAACCGCAACAGCGGAATTCATATAGTACAGCTCTTTGGCTATTTTGTGTCTTGTGAAACTGGACAAAGGAAGACAAGAGAGCGCCATCCTTTTCAGTACGAGTTTTTTTCAGGCTGCGTGATGTGCTTTATATTGTTTCGTCCTCGCACTCTTGAAGGAATTATCATCCAACCCATGCACTTCCGAGCACATGGATTGCCCTGCACGAAGCACAGGTTGGTGTATCAAGACGAAGCGGGAGTGAGCTTAAAGGAAATTGGACATCCGAATTAGAAGCGCACCAGAAAGTAGACCCATGTATTATTGGTGTCGGTAAAATGTGGCGATAAAAGGTTGACGCAGCAAGCCCCTCAAATAAATCCGCACGTGGCAACTCAGCTGATCTGCATGTCCTCGGCCGCCACCTCGCCGTCTTCGACAGCCGTCGCTCCAGTCACCGCCGAAACGGGTGCAACAGGCACGCCGACCTCGTTGCTGCTCATAGCTGCAGGATCCTCACTCCCCGGTGCAAGTGACAACTCATCGAAGCCCAACTTGGCTAGTGTGTTCTCCATCTTCTGTCGCTGGCGGGTGCGCGCTCGCTTCTTGGCGTCCTTCTTCTTCCTATCCTCTACCTCGTAAATGGTACGGTATACCTCCTTGGGCACCTTATCCTTCAATAGTGTGAAGAAGACTCCTCCGGACGTACGACGCCGCGGCTTATACTCACGCGAAACCTCGTCCACCACAAAGAACAGCTCGGGTTTGCCGCTACCCAACGCGTTCACCGTCTGGCCGCCGTCCTTCTCGAGTCGCAATGTTTCACGCAGAAGCTGCCACGACACCTTCGGTCCAACATTCTTCACCACGCGATGCAAAAGCGCCACCTTCGGCTCTTTCAAAAGCTCGGACAGCACGCGCGGCATGTCCTTGGTCAACGGTTGCTTAAGGTTATTGCGACGTCGCTTACTCTTATTACCGCGCGGCGTCTGCGGGGCATTGCCGTCCTTCTTGTGCTTGTGCCTGTGCTTCTTCTGCTGTTTCTGCGGCGAGCGTACTGGCGCAGCAGCGTCGGTCCGCACAGCCACTGGCGCCGGTGGCGGAGCTACAGCTGCAACGTCCATAGTCAAGTGACTGGAATGGATCGACGACGCTAAAAATAGCGCGCCAAATTGCATTTTGACCAATCAGTGAATTTATAAAATACTAACGAATTAAAATAAAATAAAACACAGTGCTTCTAAATTGAATTGAATAATGTAAGGTGTAGCGTAGGTGTTGAAGTGCATGGTCCACTTCAACTACACTGTGTCGCTGCAATGAGCCTGCGAGCATCAACAAATATTAGTCAGTCTGGAGCAAAACACCTGAAAACTGGTAAACCTTAATTACTTATCAATGCTCGCATGAGCTCGAGCTCGCGCTGCTGGAGCCGCTGCACCTGCTCCTGCAATAGCAGCACCACCCGCGTGTCGGCCTTCTGACGCTGAAGTTGCTGTTTCAGAGATGCATTCTCCTCCATCAGCTTCTGATTGTTTTCCCGAAGAGTCGAGAGTATATCGTCGTTTACTGCACGTATTTGCTTAGGCGCCTCAACAATCTGTAGCTGTTCACTAGCCGTATTGACAGGCGTGAAACAATGTAGCTCATGGCGTTTCTCACCTTGACCAGCATCAGAGTGAGAATGCTGTGGCTCTGGTTTGACCGTGATCTCCACGGGCGATGACTCTGTTGTATCTGCTATAATAATCATAGGTCTAGACAACACGGTCGATTCTTCTGCCGGGTGATGAACGTCGTCCTCGTCCTCTTGAAGCTCAATGAGATATCGAGCACGTTTACGCTTCCTCTCCGTTATAACCTCGCTATCACGAGGTCGTTTCTGACGCTCTCCTTGTTGCAATCGATTCATATGCTGCAGACGCAGCGCCTTCCTCCGGCCCATGGGCCTCACATCCTGATCGTCTTCATCAGCACTATCGTTCATTACAGCGGACTGCTGACTGCAGAGAGGAGGGCTGGATTGTTGTCGCAATTGTGCCATTTCCCGACGTAGTAGGAGATCCAGTTCGTCGCCATCCTCCTCCTCGTAGTCTTAACCGTCGGTCATGCCCGGTGATCCTGGCGACGCAGACCCCTTCACCACATCAATCATCTTCAACCGCACTATATCTACCTCACCGTCTATCTCGGTGTTATCTTCCCCGTTTGACACTTTACGACGTTCGCTAAACAGCAGCATTGCTCGTCGCAGCAGCTTATCCAACTCTTCGTCTTCTTCTTCACGTTGCGACGTAGCCAGTGCTGTCACGTTATCTTCCTGTGGTCTTTGCCTAGCCAGCCTCTGACGAAGTAGCAGCGTTGCTCGCTGTAGTAGTTCGTCCAATTCTTTGTCCTGTTCTTCGCCATCCGTCGCCTCCACTGGCGCTTCGCCATCTTCCCCAAACAACACAATATCACGCTGTGCATTTGTAGCCTTCATGCGGAGGAGGAGCACCGCACGGCGCAGCAGTCGGTCCAGGTCGCTATCATCTTCGCCCTGACACGAAGTTGGATGCGTTGCAGAGCGCTCTGCAACCTTCTGCCTGTTTGGCATTGCGCACTCCTGGTCGTCGCCCAGATCCTTCATAATGCGTTTCAGCCACTGAATCTTACGCGGGGCGGAGTCCATCGTCCACATTCACACACGACCACCAATTCCTGGTATTTGTCGACAGAATAAAAATTGCCGCCAAATCGCTTCGCGGGAAAAAGCTGTACCCCTTTTATGGTACCGTTGGACCAACATCTGATCGATTTCAAAATTTAAACTTGATGTCCTAATTTGGCATAGACTTATGAAGACGAGTAACTTTGGAAAGCACCAGTTGCATCATACTACGTAGTAAGTTTGAAGGAAGCAATTCCTTCGTGTGTTTTCATCAAGACCCACTACGTTGTCAGGGCGCTAAGTAAGGAAAAGAAAAAAAGATTTTTCGCGTCAAGTAGACAACTCCATACTCAGTAAGATAAGTGAGAAAGAAAAGGTTATGTCTGTTATCCATCTTGGCACTTAGTGGCAGCTTCCTTCTAACATCTATGTATTTGTGATTTTGCGAGCACTTGGTGTCGTTACAGTGCGCTGACCATAGGATGGTCTGAAAAATAATAACCAACGCGTTGTCACCTGCGGCTCAGGTAAGACTTTCCGAATCCACATACAGTAGTTAACAGCGTTTTGGCGATTGCTGTCGACTCTGTCTACCTCTTTTTTTTTTTTAAAAAAAAAATGTGTTTTGCAAAGTATACCTGGAATGGAAAAGTATACGTTGAGGGAGGTATTGTATACTTGGTTGCGCGTTTTTCACTTTCAGTAAATTGCCTACGCAACATGGCGTCGTTACCCGATGCGTCAGCGGCGTCTGCGCAGCTCCAGAGCAATTCTCACGCGACAGTATCCATTCCACCGTCTTCAGCGCTCGCTGCTGAGTCTAGCGAGCCATCTACAGCGTTTGGGAGCGCCCTAGAAGCTGTGCAACACGCCGTCGTTCCAAACGCTCACATTGATGTGTCAGCCTCGCCATCCGTGGCTACAGAGCCCGTCAAGAAGGGAAAGGGCGTCGGTAGGCGGCTCACAGACCGACAGCGCGTGGAGATTCTGGAACTGATTGAGAAATCGGGCAGCACCTTGTCAAATGCCGAGATTGGGAGGCGCTACGGCATCACACGCGCTGCCATTCAGAAGCTCAAACAAAAGGGCCCCGAGGTGAGGGCTCGATATCGTTACGGGAGTGCTGAGACCAGGGATGGGCGTAAACGTGGGGGCCACATCATGAGTGTACCGTTCGAACGAGAGCTGTTTGAATGGGTACGAGGACTCAAGGCACGGAAAGTGCCGGTCCCACCGTCGCTTGTCAAGGAGAAAGCCAAATTGTTGGTGCCCAAGTACGCGCTGGGAAGTTTTCAGGCGTCAAATGGATGGTACTACAACTTCTGTAAGCGGTTTAACTTGTCCACGGGCGTGTTGGTAGAGGAGAAGGCGCAGATACCCCCAGCGGCTGATGAGGTGGATGCAAACTTGGACGCAGACCACGCGGAGCTCCAGCAAATGACAATGAACGCGCTGGGGCAGCAAACGTACGAGCAAATCCAGCAGTATCATCAACAGCAAATAGCTGCGCTCACTGCAGCAACGTTGCAGGATAAACAGGGTCAAGTCCAACAGACCCAAGACAGCGCACAAGGACTGCAGCTTAAGAGCGATAAGATGCTGGCGCTTCTTGAGCAGCAAAACGCTCTTCTCGAGCGACAAAACAGCATGATCGAAGAGCAGTCCGAGACTATCAAGAAACTATTTGCTTTGGTGACCAACGGGGGCTCAGGGCTCTAGTGGCGATCTCGTATTGCAGCACCAGTTTCTATGCTGTTCCATACTATTCGAAGATGGACCAGGTAGTCTACATGAGGTAAATTCTCTCGCGGTGTTGAACCAGGCATAAAAAAAGCCAACAGAACATGATACGTTTTGTTAAGATATGTTCTTGTTGGTTGAGCGCTAGGTAAGATCACGTGGCGGCACTAGGATACATGTACAAATATTTTGGACTGACAAACACAAAAACTTACTGACGAAGACGGCGCTTGCAGCTCGTGTTTTTGCTCGGGAACGTCGGCTCGGAAGCAGAGGATCCTGCTACCTTGCTGCCGTTCGTCTGGCTTTGATCCTTCAATGACGGCGAATTGACCGAGCCGTTGCTTTCGCTAACCGTCGAATCATTAGACTGGTTGGGACTGTTGCCATTGCTGCCTTGGTCGATGTTGGAAGAACCCTCGACCTGGCTGCCAGTCTCCTCGCCCGTTTGTGTGGGGCTGTCGAACGGAGACGAGCTGCTGCCTTCATCAAGACCGGTAGATCCGCTGACTTGACTACCAGACTCTGAACCAATCGGCTTATCATAGGAGGTGCTGCTCTGGTCGGTATCGGACGAGCTGTCAACTTGACTACCGGTAGCAGAACCACCCGCAAGCGAGAATGAGCCATCACATGGTACAGAGCCCGAGGTGCTACTCTCGTCCAGGCCAGTCGAGCTCTGAGTTCCGCTGCCGTCTCCGCTTCGCGGGATGCCGTCGCCCTTGCCGTTCGAAGCAGAACCACTGCTTTCATCAGTGGAGCTTGACCCGGCAATCTCGCTGCTGGATCCACTCGTAGAAGGAAAAGTGACTTCGCCCTGGTCTACCGACGTTGATCCGCTGCTCTCGTCGATAGAGCTTGATCCCTCGACGTCACTGCCGGTGTCGTTCGTAATGTAGTCACCGCCTTCATTCGGACCCGTCGAGCCAGCGGGGCTACTTCCTGAGCTGCTCAAACTGGGGACACCTCCCTTGTCATTCGGAGAGGAACCGCCACCAATGTCGAGACCGCTGCCGGTTGGAAGGCTGCCGGCCGATGGAGGTGGGCTCTTGGGGTTAAACGCACTGCCAGATCCAGTGGAAGGGGGAATAGTGAACGCTCCGTTCGACTTGGAGTCGTTGCCTTCATCGATCGCCGAAGACCCCGCTACGGAAGAGCCCGTGCTGTCATACGAGTACGATCCGCCATCAGACGTAGCTGGTGCCGCAGTCGTCGAGGCAGGAACTAGCGTCTGTGACTGCACAGGCGAATCTGACGGGGTGACGTTGATCTGGGGAACGTTCGCCGGGTTGCCCTGCTCAAGAGCGGCGACGCCGTTCATAGCCACTACAGCGGCGACGACTAGTGAAAGATTCTTCCACGACAACATTTCGATTGCGATGTATTTGATGCGGATGAAAGTTGGGCAATTGAGTAATGAGCATTTGGAAGTTCGGCACGACAGTGCTCAAGGTGGTGCCATGGCAGAGATGAAGGTATCAACTACAGCTTTCCGAATCTGCAGGTGTCGACACTCGTCATTTACTGTTCGATCCACATGGTTGCAACTGCATGCCGTCACGTGTGGATTGAAGCTCATCGAATCGACCGTATGGCGCTAAATCCACACTGGAATTTCGATTGAACCGTTCGTTCCACCAGGCATCTGCTCCACTGGCTTGGCACAGAAGTCTCAGCAGCAAGTGATATCAAGGAACAGGGTGGCTGTCGAATTTACAGTGTAGATCGATGGCTGATTTGCATTGAGTTTTGCTTTCACCAAAGCTCCACAGCTGGTTGCGCAACTTACAGGGTTCTTGTCTGACTTGTCGTGCCAAGTGGAAGGACAGACTGTGCCAGGCTGTGTAGTGGAATGATAAGGACCCTGCTCGAAATGGTGAGGTTAAGCATCGTTTCTCCACACCATCATAGGTTGAGCATGCTGCATGTATCATACATGATGATATATGGCTCTTAAATTGACACTAGGAGTAATGTTGCTGTCAGTGAATATACGAGTAAACTTACAAGTAGACTGAATACCGGTCTGTATTGACAAACTTACATCCATTATCATAATACACACACACTGACTGGTACATCTAACCATCTAGTTTCGGCGAAGACGAAGCTTGCAGCTCGTGCCCGTGCTCGGAAAAGTAGCCGAGCCGCTGCTCTCCGTGGCAGCCGACGCTCCTGTCTGCGTCGGGGTCGAGTCGCTGCCGGTCGAGTCACTGCCGGTCGAGCTCGACGGAGTTGTAGCCTCGCTTCCGGCCTCACTGGTAGGGGTCGTGGCTGCGCTGCCAGCATCGCTCGTGGGTGTAGTGGCCTCGCTGCCGGCTTCGCTGGTCGGGGTGGTTTCATCACTGCCCTGGTTCTGAGTCGCCGATCCTTGTGTTGACTGGCTGGCACTCGAACTACCGGCGAGTGACAGAGATCCCTCGCACGGCTCCGAACCCGAAGTGCTTGTCTCAATAGCTGATGAACCAGCAACGTCACTGCCGGTGGCAGAGCTACCCGCAAACGACGTTGAGGCGCTGCTGACGTACGAACCCTGTTGCTCTTGGCTGCCAACGGTCACGTCACTGGAGCCGCTTGTCGAGGCAACCGAGCTGCTACCTTGGTCAATGGCGCTCGATCCCTCCACGGCGCTGCCGGTGTACGCGTCGTCATTGCCGGAATTGCTCGAGGTAATACCCGTTTTGCCGGGAGTTGGAGTCGAGGTGCCCTGATCGATATCGGCCGAACCCTCCACGGCGCTGCCGGTGTACGCGTCGTCATTGCCGGAATTGCTCGAGGTAATACCCGTTTTGCCGGGAGTTGGAGTCGAGGTGCCCTGATCGATATCGGACGAACCCTCCACGGCGCTGCCCGTATACAGCCCGTTGCTGCCGCTGCCGCTCGGTAAAGCTGTATCGCTCTTGCTAGGGTACGACGTCGACGGCGGGTTGGTTTCGGTGCTCTGGTCCAGAGCTGACGACGCATCCACCGAAGTCGGTGATTCCTGCACGACGGACTGGTCCGAGGGTGTCGCCGTGGTGGCAGACGGCAACTTCACACCACCACCGTAGCCCTGCTCAATGGCAGTGACGCCGTTCATGGCCACAGCGGCCGCAACAAGCAGTGATAGGGTCTTCCAGGAGAGCATGGTTGCGGTTGATATTGGGAGACGTAGTGAAGTGTTGATGTGTTTTTGAATGCCGAGGCAAAATGAATAATGAGCTTGTCGGCTTGACCAGAAAAGGAGTCGATGAGGTACGCCGACTTGGTGTGTGCCTTGGTCTCTGACCAAGCGATCCTGTGTCCCTTGCATCAGAGTCCAGCCGACCCCAAACTTTGGCACTGTGCCACATACGTGAACGATACTTGTCTCCGTCTGCCTTGCTCAGATCCACCTGGACGATGGCGCAACGGCCGTACAGCCACTCAGCGCATCAGAACCTATTCAATCCATGTGCTCAAGGCATCTGCTCCAGCGATTCGCACGAATGGTGCGCAGCTGGGCCTGCAGCATGCTTAATGCAGTGAGGCCTGTAATCGCTTTAAACAATGCATCGCATTAGAGGTAGCAGCAACGAGGAGAGAACGAGGCGAGCAGATTGTATTCACTGTGCTTTGTATCTGTCGTGGTGAACCATAGTGATCCTGAACGAGTCCAACACGAAACAACTTCAACGTCAACCTCTTTGCAAGACAAGATTTGCAGCTTGTTCGACTAATCGAGTGTTCGACTAATGAAGTTTTGAACAATTCCCTAGACTTATCCTTATCCTCTGGACGAACGATTTATGATGACGACATTTAGACTGATGTTGAGAGGAGTATTGGAAGCGAGCTGCTTACGCCCGACAGTGTCAAATAGACACCTTACTGGCGGAGGCGACGACTGCGGACCTTGCATCCTCCACTCTGTGGGGTGTGGTCGTCATCACCGCTAGTCGACGCTTCGCCTGCAGTGCTGTCGTCAAGCGTAGAGCTATCTCGATCACTACCATCGACGCTGGAAGGGACAGGTCCGTCGCCAGAAGGAGCACTGCCGCTGTCGACATCACTTGGTGGTGTCGGGAAGGTAATGCTGCCACTTCCGCTAGGAAGCGGAGGAAAGCTTGTGCTTCCACTTCCGGGGAACGGTGAGAAGTCTATGCTGCCACTGCTACTAGGTCTGTGCGGAAGATCCTCACAGCTGCCGTCGCCGTTCGCTGAAGGAGGGTGCTCGCTGGGTTGACTGTCGCTGCCTTCATCAATCGCAGAAGACCCGTCCACCACGCTGCCGGCATCACTGGCCAAGCTGTCGTTATCGTAGTCGCTGTCGGTTGATTCGGAGTTGTCAGTCGAGGAAGGCGTAGTTGGAGTCGTGGCGGGTGCCAGTGACTCCACTG